CGATCCCCGGTACCAAAAAAAAAAAAAAAAAAAAAAAAAAATCACTGTGGTTTGTATTCGATTTGAAGTCTTGATTAAAGCAAAAGTGAGAATGAAACCACAAACACTGCAAAATTACTACATCATTCTGATACGGCTTTACACTGATTGTGTAGGAGAAAATAACATTAAAATTGAAGCAGTAGCAACATGTGCAAACCAAGCACATTAAGCCTAACAGTCCTTAGCAGAAAGCTGTTTTGGTTAGGTGATGGTTATCGCAGCGTGCAGGTCAGTCTGCTTTGGAGGATAAGCTATGAACAGCCTCGTTCATTTCAAAAATTAGTTCCTACTGGCCCACAATGGTGAGAAGGAGCCTTTTGGAATCACTTGTGTCGCTTATAATCATTGTGCCAATAGAGCTGGAACTCGGGAACACGTACTGATTGAGATTTGTGTACGCAGGAGCAAATCAAGAAATCCGAGAAATTGTCAGGTATCAGTCAAAATTAGGACGAGACCTGGAAAAGGACATTAGTTCAGATACATCAGGGCATGTTGAACGTTTGCTTGTATCCACGTGGCAGGAAAAGCAAGATGAGAACCAATATGTAAACCAGCAAACAGCTCAGAAAGATGCTTGAGGTATGGAGCTGAGGAGGGCAGACTCCACACTGATGGGTCTTATAATGTGATCCTGGCCACAAGCAGCTTTCCTCAGCTGAAAGCTTCCATGGCTGAGCTTTTTGTGTTGATTTAAAATTTACCTTAAGCTCTCTTTGTCTAAACCTGTCCATATCGTGGTGCAGAGCTCTATCTCCCCTTCTGTCTCCCCAGTTCAAAATGCTAAAAAACTCCGTGACCAAGTCTCTGCCTCAGAGCTGACCCAGGAGATCCTAATGTCCAGTGTGTTCCCAGAACTGCAATAAGACTAGATGAAAATGGTGTGACTCTTTGGAAAAAAATTAGTAAATAAAAGTTTAATGACAAAAAAAAAAAAAAAACGAAAAAAAAAAAAAAGGATGGCTAATCGAGATTTGTTAAGGAGTGTCAGCTGTGAGTTACCTGGATATTGTTTGCTTGCTTGGTTGTTTTTGAGACAGGGTCTCACAATGTAATTGAGATTGACCTAGAACTCACTATGTAGTCCAGGCTGGTCTCGAACTCACAGCGATCCTCCTGCCTCAGCCTCCTTAGTGCTGGGATTACAGGCTGGATATATTGAAAGTTTTTTGAAGACACTCTTGCAATGTACCCTGAACTGTCTGTCTGCCCTGCCTTTGCTGAGCAGATCTACTATTTATGAAGAATGCGGGCACAGATGACTCCACGCTGGTCAGAATTGTGGTTTCTCAAAGTGAGATTGACCTTGCACAACTGAATTACATTTTAAAACTGCATTAGTTACTTTTTTCTCTGTGCTGAGAAAATACACCCAACATAAAAGGGAAATTTTATTTAGCTCAGTTTGAAGAGGTTTCAGTTCATAGTTGGCTGGCTCCGAGGCAGAGGGACATCACAGAGGAGAAACAGTTCTTTGCACAAAGAAGACAGGAAAGGCAGTAAGGGAACTTCAACAGTACTTTCTGCCCCTTATCCACACTACCAGGATTAGGGTGGTTTTAGTAATCGAACGCTCTTAATCCCAACATCACACACTCTAGACTCAGTCACCTCTGAAAAAGCCACCTGTGGCCGCTTTATCTTTTGGGGGCACATCTAGACACAAACATAACAAAAACATCACTCTTCCGGAATGAGAATGGGTTGTAATGGGACAGGAGAAAAGGGTAGCTGGTTAAAGTACTAATGCAGTCGTTCAGCCAAGAGGGAGGAATATCCAACCCTAGGGTGGTGGTAGAGATGGAGGTGGTGGATGGAGTGAGTGTGAACATAAGTGTTACATATTCCCAGCAACCTGTGAAGTTCAGGTTATTGCCTTGTTTTACAGATGGTGGGAAAAGGACCTGGCACGGTTGGAGTATTTTCCCAGTTTGTTTTGCCCACCATCTTGTCACTGGCTGGTGATAGTCCTCCGGAGGCAGAGGCTAGGGCCTGGCTAACACTGGGAAAGTAGGTGTGGCCTGTTCCAAAATCCCAGGACGTGTAGAGCAGTTCCCAAAGTCCTGCAGCTGGACTCCTTGAGAAGGTTTTTTGTTTGTTTGTTTGTTGTTGTTTTGAGACAGGGTCTCACTATGTAGTTGACAATGACCTGGAGCTCACTATGTAGCCCAGGCTGGTCTCGAACTCACAGCGATCCTCATGCCTCAGCCTCCAGAGTGCTAATGACAGGCATGCACCACCACGCCCAGGTGGAGAAGTTTTTGATAGGATGGCCCCATTCCTGGCTCCAGGCTGGGGAGTGGAAAAAATAAAAAAAGATGAGCTGCCATGGAGCTCCCACTAGGGTGTCTTCATGGCAGTCCAGCCCCATGCTGCAGTGGGTACCGTTCTTTTCCTGCTTTTCTTGGCCTAAATTCGCTCTGCAGAGACTGTGTCTTTTCCTACCTTTAATAAATGTAAAACTTTGCTACTGTTTATACTTGTCTTGACCAGTTATTTGTTCAGGAAAGAAAGAAGCTAAACACCACCTCTAGAAGGAGACTCCAGCACCCCAAAACCCAATAACACTCGCTCTAGTGATTGGAAATTAAAGTGACACAATGAATTTACAAACAAAAGCTTGAATTGGAAAGTAAGGAAAATATCACCAGACTAGGCCTGAGAAGTTTCCTGAAGCTGAGACTAGGAACTTAACTCACCTTAAACATAGAATGTTTGGAGGTTCACTGACTCCCACTGAAGAAAAAAAATCGAGGACACCTCAGTAAGAGACACAGGAGGGACTTACTAAGCAGAAATGTCAGTACATGCCAACCGTGGAGTTCGGGTGGTCAGAGGTCACACTAGTTTGGAACTGGGAATATTTATGTGTTTTTGGCGGTGGAAATCTGGAATTCCTTTATCTATAGTCACAGTCTTGGTTTGATTAGTGGAAGACCGTGGCCCATCCATAGTGAGATAGTGGTTCATTCTTAGGGGAAAGTCTAATTTAAAGGTGAAAGGTGGTCTCTTGCAGGTGTAAGAGGACTATTTGCAAGTAAAAAGCTTATGGCTGAGCCCACTTGTAGGTGAAAGGGAACTGCCCACGTTTAAATTGCACTTGTGTCCTGAAGCTGTAGTTTTCGATTTTTTAAAATTATTGTTTGCCCTGTCTCCTTTCTGTATTTTGTCTCTTCTGTCCCACTTATTTAGGCCTCCAATTTGAAAAACAGCTGGACCCAGCACCTTCCGATGCCCCTCACAGAGACCGTGTTTTTTTGTTTGTTTTATGTTTTGTTGTTGCAGCACTAGAAATTCAATACAGGACCTTCTGCCTCAGCCTCCCAAAATGAGATCACAGGTGTGCTGGAAAGAAAGATTTACAGAGGGCAGGGAATTTAGCTCAGTGGTTCCAGCGCCTACCTCGCAAGCGCAAGGACCTGACTTTGATCCCCGGTACAAAAAAAGAAACAAAGATTTATGGAGGGCTTTGGAGGGGTAGCGTCCAATCATATCTCAGCCTTGCTCAGTCATTAGTTCTGTCCAGCTTCCCGGTTGGAAAGGAGGAACCCTTGTGATTTGCGGGGCCATCTCACCCTGTGAGGCTCCGCTAGAATCCAAGGTGACCATGGGTTTACAACTATGGGGATTTCTGGGCTTAGGTGTTCTCAGTCCTGAAGAACAGTGAGATAGGTTAATCATCTCTGCTGTGGTCCCAGTAGGGATCCCAATGACCAAAGTCAATAGGTAACAAGCAGATGCCTCCTTGTATTGCCTCTGCATAAGGGCATAAATCCCAGGAAGGGAACCACTGACAAACCAAAGAAATGGGTATCTCAGAAGGGAATCATATTGAGGTGTACAGAAAAGAAAAATAGATTAGGCTGTCTGATTTAAATCCTGTCTCTGCCACTGCTACAACTTGAATTCACACCCTCTAAAATTCGGATGTTGCCAGTGAGGTAGTATTGACAATCGGGGCCCATAAGAGGTAATGAGGCCAGGAAGGTTCCTTCCTTGTTAATGCTACAAAGCCCCTTGTAGAAGAGACTTCACACAGGGTTCAGCTAGCTTACTCGTCCCCCTTCTGTTATGCAAGGACCCAACAAGAACCCCTCACCAGGTGCCAGTATCCCGATGGTGGACTTCCCAGTCTCCAGAAGTATGAAAATAAATTTCTCTTCTTCATACATCAACCAGGCTCAGGTATTCTGTTATAGCAGCCCAAGCAAAGACAACCACTTATTTCCTATCTCTGACTTGGTTTCTGTCATTATCTGTAAAATGGAGATAATAATGGTTCCCCTGCCTTATAGTATTTTGTGCACATTAAGTGAGTTGGTACTGGTAAAGCTTTTGGGACAGTCCCTGGCACGTTAGTAAGCTTGAACTAAGTGCTACCTGTAATTATCACATACACCCAGTTTGGGCTAAAAACAGTACCTGCCACAGCTTTATCACAGTTTGTAATTACAGTGTGGTGTTTGTTTGTTTGTTTGTTTGTGTTTTTTGTTTTGTTTTTTTTTTGAGACAGGGTCTCACTATGTAGTTGAGACTGCCCTAGAACTCACTGTGTAGCCCAGGCTGGTCTCAAACTCACAGCAATCCTCCTGCCTCAGCCTCCCAAGTGCTGGGATTACATGCGTGTGCCACCATACCCAGCCATCCTGAAATGTATTTGTATATGTATAGGAGAGAAATGCTTTACCCAAAAAACGTGAGACTATAGGGTCTGTAGATTGCAATGATTTTTATTTCAGTGAGTCACAAATTTAATCATGAAACCAAAGAATTTTCCACTTAAGGTCCCAACAACAATATAGGTGAATACGTTTAATAAGAAGACTTACCAGAATTACAGAACCAAAAACCTATACCAGCAACTGGTAAAAATAATCATCCTAAAGAGATCCAATGAATCATCTTTCCTTTGTGACAGAAGGTTCTCAGAGTAGCTGTACACCAGTCAAAAAGGTAAATTATTTAGTAGAAATCGATTTCTCTGTCCCTGTGACACTCAGAGGAGCTGGCAGGCTCTTGCAGTAGTCATTTGTCTTTGTGGTGACAAGAATGGTCGCTCCCTCCTCCATGGCTGGGAGCGGGAAGAAATGGTCAGAGTCGACCTTTAGTTTGCTCTTGACGCAGTCTTCACAGATACATTCTTCTACTGTGTAGCCCAGGCTTCTTGGCAGAATAATTTCAGCATCGTTCCCGCTGTCCTCCAGGTCAGCATTAACTGCTGCGTCCAGCAGATCAGATTCTGATGATGCAGAAACAGAAACACTGACCTGAGCTTTCCTGGAGAGATCGGAATCTTAGGATGTAACAGAACTCAGAGCAGGGTGAGATGGAGGAGGCCTGTGATCTGCACCACAGGGCGAAGGCATGGTTTGTTTGCGCATGTTTTTAAGTGTTTGCTTATGTTGACCGGATTTAAAAATCAAGAGACTTTACAACTCTGGACAAATGGAACCTTTAACAAGACAACAGAATGCAGCAACATAGAACCAATGTGGAAACCATTAACTGCGGTCGAGAGCAGCTGTCACCATAAGGCAGGCCATGGGCTCTTAGGCTGGCAGTCACCACCGGCCCAGTACATTCCTCTGTTGCCCTCCTGGCTCTCGCAAGCATTAAGGTTTTGACCTTATCACACACATGAAAATGACAGAAATTACCGTCTATCACAGGGCACCAAAATCACTGCAGAGTAACAGTGTTTTTTGCTTTTTGGGTTTTTTTTTTTTTTTTTTTTTTTTGTACTGAGGATCGAACTCAGGACCTTGCACTTGCGAGGCAGGCATGGTGCCACTGAGCTAAAACTGCAGCCCACTGGTAATGTTTTACAATGTAAGACTAAAGATGACTCCTCTGGGGGAACATTTTGCAACAGATGAAAAACTTTTGAAACGAATCTCTTATACTCACATAAGGAAGGAATCTCCACAGTGTCCCAGTTATACCCCTGTGAAGGTAAGTTTTCTACTTCCTAACACTGCAGTGTAACTTTGTCTTCTGAAATGTCATACTTAGGTTCACTCTAGAAACAAGCCAGACACAGGAAGGAAAACACTGTATGACCTCATTTAAATCTAAAGTTCTATAAATAGAAGCAGAGAGAATGGCGATTCCAGGGGCAGGTAGGTGGGGGGAATGGGAAGCTTTTGGTCAAAGGGTATATTATAGAAGGGCTGGGGATTTAGCTGAGTGGTTCCACTGCCTGCCTTACAAGCCCAAGGGCCCAAGTTCGATCCCTGGTGCCAAAAAAAAGGATATAGTATAGATATGTAGGATGAATAAATCTAGAGGCTTAACGTGTAGCATGATGAATGTATACTATAAAATAGCTAAAAGTAGGTTTCAAGTGCTGTCACCCCCAAAAGAAAAGCTAAGACTGTGAGGAGATGCAATGTTAATTTGCTTGACTATAGTAATCATTTCACTATGTATATGTACATTAGCACACGTTGTGACTCAGGAATCTATGGGGCACAGTAAGAGCAGTTCCACAAGGGAAATTCATAGCAGTAAATGCCCACACTAGGAAAACAGCAAGCTCAAATAACCTAATGCTTAACTTTAAGCTCCTAGAAAAAGAAGCACAAGACAAACTGAAAGCTCATAAGGGAGGAAATTATAAAGATTAGAGCACTAATTAATATCACTAGGAAAACAGAGCAAGCTCAAATAACCTAATGCTTAACCTTAAGCTCCTAGAAAAAGAAGCGCAAGACAAACTGAAAGCTCATAAGGGAGGAAATCATAAAGATTAGAGCACTAATTAATACAATAGAGACTAAGAGAATGATACAAAAAACAATGAATCAAAGAGTTGGTTTTTTGAAAGAATAACTAAAATTGATAAACCCTTAGCCAACCTTCTCAAAAAAAGGAAAGAAAAGGCTCAAATTCATACAATTAGGAATGAAAAAAGGTGAAGTCACAACAGATCCAATAGAAATCCAGAGGATCATCAGTACCTACTTCGAAAACCTATCTCTAACTCTAATAAAACATAACTCTAATAAAATGGAAAATACAGAAGAAATGGACAGATTCCTAGATACATATGAACTTCCAAAGCTGAATGAAGAAGATACAAAACATCTAAACACCCCAATTACATGCAGTAAAATTGACACTGTAATTAAAACATTACTAACAAAGAAAAGCTCAGATCCTGATGGCTTCACTGCTGACTTCTACAAGACATTTAGAGAAGAACTATCACCACTACTCTTTAAACCCTTCAGTGAAATTAAAAGGGAAGCAATACTTCCAATTCATTCCTGGAAACAAGTATTACTTTGATCCCAAAACCAGGGAAAGACCCAGCCGAACTACAAGCCAATCTCCCTTAATGAACAGAGATGCAACTATCCTCAATAAGATACTGGGAAACAGAATACAGAAGATCATCAAGAAGATCGTATACCCTGACCAAGTCAGATTTATCCCAAGGATGCAAGTATGGTTCAACATACATAAATCAATAAATGTAATATACTATATTAACAGAATTAAGGACAAAAACCATATGATCATCTCAATAGATACAGAAAAAGCGTGCGACAAAAGGCAACACCCATTCATGATAAAAACCTTACAGAAAATTGGAATAGTTGGTCATTATCTCAACCTGATAAAGGCTATGAAAACCAACAGCCAATATCATATAAAATGGCCCAAAACTGAAAACCTTCACAGTAAAATCAGGAACAAGACAAGAATGTCCACTACCACCACTCCTGTTCAATATAGTTTTAGAAACATTAGGCACAACAATTAGACAAGAGAAAGAAATAAAAACAATAAAGATAGGAAAGGAAGAAGTTAAACTTTCACTATTTGATGGTGATATGATACTCTACATAGAAGACCCAAAAAACTCTGCCAAAAGACTTTTAGACTTAACTGACAGATTCCGTAGAGCATCTGGATACAAGGTCAACACTCAAAAATCAATAACCTTCTTGTACACAAATAATGGACTCACTGAGAGAAATTACAGAAACAATCCCTTTCATAATAGCATCCAAAAAAAATGAAATGCCTAGAAATCAATCTTTTGAAAGAGACAAAAGACCTATATGCTGAAAGCTATAGTACTCCGAAAAAAGAGATAGAAGAAGATACAAGAAGATGGAAAGACATCCCTTGCTCCTGCATAGGAAGAATCAACATAGTGAAAATGGCCATACTTCCAAAACTGCTATGCATATTCAATGCAATCCTGATTGAAATCCCAACAGCATATCTCACAGAACTTAAAAAAAAAATCCAAACATTCATTTGGAACCAGAAGAGACCTAGACTAGCCAAAGCCATTCTAGGCAAAAAAAAAACATGGTAGGGGGTATCATAATCCCCAACTTGAAACTATACTACAAAGCTACTGTGATAAAAACAGCATGGTACTGGCAAAGAAACAGACCTCAGGATCAATGGAATAGATTAGAAGATGAAGAAACAATGCAGACATGCTCAGCTAGCACATCTTTGACAAAGGAGCCAAGCATCCTCACTGGAGGAAAGATAGCCTTTTTAGAGAAACACTAAACTTACTGGAAAATAAATTAGGTAGAACTCTCGAAGACATTGGCATAGGAAAAGATTTTATGAACAAATCCTCAGCCCGAGAACTTGCACAAAGAATCACCAACTGGGATCTCACCATATTAAAAAGTTTTTGCAGTGCATGAGAAACAATCAATAGAGCTAACAGATAACTTACAATGCGGGGAAAAAAATTTACCAGCTACTCCTCAGACAAAGGACTACTATCTAGAATATATAAAGAACTCAAAAACATCAGAACCCCCAAATACAAAGATCCAATTCAAAAATGGGCATCTGAAACAAAGAGACATTTCTCAGACAAACAAGTAAAAGCAGCAAATAAATATATGAAAAAATGTTCCACATTACTGGTCATTCGTTGCAGTGCATGAGAAACAATCAATAGAGCTAACAGATAACTTACAATGCGGGGAAAAAAATTTACCAGCTACTCCTCAGACAAAGGACTACTATCTAGAATATATAAAGAACTCAAAAAAATCAGAACCCCCAAATACAAAGATCCAATTCAAAAATGGGCATCTGAAACAAAGAGACATTTCTCAGACAAACAAGTAAAAGCAGCAAATAAATATATGAAAAATGTTCCACATCACTGGTCATTCGTGAGATGCAAATGAAAACAACACTGAGATTCCACCTCACCCCAGAAGGAATGGCTGCTATCAAGAAATCAACCAATAAGCAATGCTGATGAGGCGTGGGGAGAAAGGAACCCTTCTCCATTGTTGGTGGGAGTGAAGACTGGAGCAACCACTGTGAAAATCAATACCTCAAAGAACTAGGATCAGAGGTCCCATTTGACCCAGCTATCCCTCTGCTGGGTATCTTTCCAAAATAATTAAAAGAATCATACCACAGTGATATCTGCTCACCCATGTTTATAGCAGCACAGTTTGTAATAGCTAAAGCTTGGAAACAACCCCAATGCCCCTCAACTGGAGACTGGATAAAGATATGGTTTTTCTATAAAATGGAGTACTACTTAGCCATAAAGAATGAGAAATTAGAGAAGTTTATAGCTAAATAGATGCACATTGAGGCTATACTCTTATTTATTTATTTTGGTACTGGGGATCAAACTCTGGTCCTTGCGCTTGTGAGGCAGGTGGCAGAACCACTGAGCTAAATCCCCAGCCCAAGGTTATACTCTTAGGAGAAATAAATAAGACACACTTGAGTAAATACCAAATAGTTTCTCTGGTGTGAAAAACTGAAAGTGTAAATAAGGTTCAAATGGCAAAATTGATAGTGTGAAATAGGAAGAAAATGGCTAAAGGCAAAGTGGGAAGGGGAGAGGACAAGAAATAAGAAAAAATATGAAAAAATGGAAACAAAAGTGTCTGTAAATAGGGAAGGGTAAAGGGGGTGAAGGGAGGGCAGGGACAAGGAGAAAAAATAAGAACCAAGACCTATCATGTAAAGGTACAAGATTCAAATGCTAAACGCAACTGTACTGTTTGTTTTAAATGTACCAATAAACTTAAGGGGGAAAAACTGTTGTGCCTGGCAATCACGAGGTCCTGAGTTCTATTCCTGGTAGCACAAAAAACAAAAAAACAAAAAAAACAAAGCTGTACACCTTAAGTATATGCGATTTTTATTTTATGTTGAAAAATTCATTCTCTACTTGTCTGCCAGATGCCAGATGGGAGAAAGAAAAATGAGTAAATTACGTGGAACTGTCCTCTACCTCTCCTACTGCTCTAGAAAGCAAATGAAGTGGGTGTTTTATAGATTATGCCTGGAAAAGAAATGCACAGAGAAACGGGGCAATGGCTGCTTCATGTCTGAGAATCAGATCACAGGGAAAGGCACTGCAGAAGCATTTCGGTCTGAAAGGATCCTCAGGCAGAACTTTTACCTCTTTGGGGCTGGTTCTCTATTGCTTAATGAAGAAGTATTTTTGAAATGGTTCCTCAACCCAGGAGCAGCTAGTTATTCATTTCTAGCATTTTCCAGTAGTAAAATGTTCACCCAAGCAAATAACACTTAATATTGTATTAACAACATGATCATAGACCTTGCCAAATATGCTTTTTCTGATCCAGGGATTGAACTCAGGACCTTGAGATTGCAAGGCAGGTGGCAGCAGCACTGAGCTAAATTCCTGGCCCCCACTGAGCAGTTTCTGATAGAAGAGCATTATTTAATCAATACACTAACTATGTATTTTTTCAGCGAGATAACTTTAGTCACAGGTGTTTCCCAAGGAAGTTCTTCAGTAAAATAATTCATTATCATGGAGAGAAATGGGAGGGAGGCCGCCGTTGTAAGGAGATTTGCAAAGGTGTCCATGCAGAACGAGGGAAGCTTGCGTTTAACATCACCGCCCACTAACACCCTTGAAAGAGCTATGACTGAACAAAGCAGTCAGCGTCAGAAAAGAAAACGAAGGGCCAGGGATTTAGCTCAGTGGCTCCGCCGCGTGCCTCGCAAGTGTAGAGTCCTCAGTTCGAGCCCTGCTACAAAAAAAAAAAAAGAGGAAATGAAACTCATAATGGCCTTCTTTTGGAAGTAGATTTCAAAAAGTCACCACCATCAAACCAACCTGTGTTTTTAAATTCATCTTTTAGTGGTTCAGAGCTCATCTTCCTTAGCAAGAACAGGAGCGCAAAAACTGCCAAAGAAACTGTCAAGCTCAGGCCCAAACAGGTCCAGAGAATGGCATTTGTTCCTTTCACTGAAGTGGCCATACCTTTATTAAAAGAATGTCAGAGAGATAATGAGCTGATAGCATAATATTCATATTAAACATGAATTGCTCACTATTCGATTCCCCCAGTTCGTCGGCGCTGACTTTTAAATTCTAAGAAACCATGTAATTAGAAGAACTGATAAAAATCTATGTCACCCACGGTGCTGAACGATTTGAGTTCAGTTCTGCATAAATTACTATCAGAACCCCCAAATACAAAGATCCAATTCAAAAATGGGCATCTGAAACAAAGAGACATTTCTCAGACAAACAAGTAAAAGCAGCAAATAAATATATGAAAAAATGTTCCACATTACTGGTCATTCGTGAGATGCAAATGAAAACAACACTGAGATTCCACCTCACCCCAGAAAGAATGGCTGCTATCAAGAAATCAACCAATAAGCAATGCTGATGAGGCGTGGGGAGAAAGGAACCCTTCTCCATTGTTGGTGGGAGTGAAGACTGGAGCAACCACTGTGAAAATCAATATGGAGATACCTCAAAGAACTAGGATCAGAGGTCCCATTTGACCCAGCTATCCCTCTGCTGGGTATCTTTCAAAAATAATTAAAAGAATCATACCACAGTGATATCTGCTCACCCATGTTTATAGCAGCACAGTTTGTAATAGCTAAAGCTTGGAAACAACCCCAATGCCCATCAACTGGAGACTGGATAAAGATATGGTTTTTCTATAAAATGGAGTACTACTTAGCCATAAAGAATGAGAAATTAGAGAAGTTTATAGCTAAATAGATGCACATTGAGGCTATACTCTTATTTATTTATTTTGGTACTGGGGATCAAACTCTGGTCCTTGCGCTTGTGAGGCAGGTGGCAGAACCACTGAGCTAAATCCCCAGCCCAAGGTTATACTCTTAGGAGAAATAAATAAGACACACTTGAGTAAATACCAAATAGTTTCTCTGGTGTGAAAAACTGAAAGTGTAAATAAGGTTCAAATGGCAAAATTGATAGTGTGAAATAGGAAGAAAATGGCTAAAGGCAAAGTGGGAAGGGGAGAGGACAAGAAATAAGAAAAAATATGAAAAAATGGAAACAAAAGTGTCTGTAAATAGGGAAGGGTAAAGGGGGTGAAGGGAGGGCAGGGACAAGGAGAAAAAATAAGAACCAAGACCTATCATGTAAAGGTACAAGATTCAAATGCTAAACGCAACTGTACTGTTTGTTTTAAATGTACCAATAAACTTAAGGGGGAAAAACTGTTGTGCCTGGCAATCACGAGGTCCTGAGTTCTATTCCTGGTAGCACAAAAAACAAAAAAACAAAAAAAACAAAGCTGTACACCTTAAGTATATGCGATTTTTATTTTATGTTGAAAAATTCATTCTCTACTTGTCTGCCAGATGCCAGATGGGAGAAAGAAAAATGAGTAAATTACGTGGAACTGTCCTCTACCTCTCCTACTGCTCTAGAAAGCAAATGAAGTGGGTGTTTTATAGATTATGCCTGGAAAAGAAATGCACAGAGAAACGGGGCAATGGCTGCTTCATGTCTGAGAATCAGATCACAGGGAAAGGCACTGCAGAAGCATTTCGGTCTGAAAGGATCCTCAGGCAGAACTTTTACCTCTTTGGGGCTGGTTCTCTATTGCTTAATGAAGAAGTATTTTTGAAATGGTTCCTCAACCCAGGAGCAGCTAGTTATTCATTTCTAGCATTTTTCAGTAGTAAAATGTTCACCCAAGCAAATAACACTTAATATTGTATTAACAACATGATCATAGACCTTGCCAAATATGCTTTTTCTGATAGTAGCAAGTCCAGTGAGCAATTTTTTTTTTTTTTTTTTTTTTT